GCTAAATAGTATACTTGTTAAATATAATATATTAGAAGGCCTAAACTTTGCAGATTTGTCAGATAATAGCAACTCAAGTCTGATCTACATCATAAACAATCTGCTAGAAGATACAAGACAAAAAGGCAAAGAGTTATAGATTCTCTTTCAGGACATAAAAAAAGCTTTTAATTTAGTAAGCTTAATAATGATAAAAAAAGTATTAAAGAGAATCAGAATACCTGAGTTGATAACCAAGTTCCTTCTTAGTTTATACAATAAGTGAAAGATTAAAGTCATTACAGATTATAGTCTAACCAAGGAGTTCGAAGCAGAAGATTAATTAGATCAAGAAGAAGTTGTTTTACTTCTCATATAATAAATATTCTATAATCTACTTTTATGCTTAATCAGCAAAGAAGAAGATTTAAAGCATAAAATAAAGCTTAGATAGTCTTGTGATTTGAAGACAAACAATATACAAGTAATGAGCTAGTAACAAGTATACTAGCTTACACAGATGATACAATATAGTTAGCAAGGTCAAAAGAGGAAATACAGAAAATAGTTAATATCTCTGCAGAATTTTATGAGCTAAATAATATTGAGATAAATAGTAAAAAATCTGAACTTCTCATATTGAACCTAACTACAAGAATAAAAAAAAAGATATATATTCAGAAATATTAATAGGAAAGGCTAAAGAGCTAGTGCAAGTAAAGTAAGGAAAAGAAGTTATAAGACATTTTAGAGTATAGATATCTGAAAAAGGTAGAAAAAAATGCAATGAAGCTATCATTATAAAAGAAATCATATGAATATGCAGAGTAATTATATAGAAAAAAGTATTAATAAGCTAGTTAGTTTATTTAAATAATAGTATACTCATATCTAGTATTGAGTATAGACTCTAAACATTCTTTCTATCCAAATCTATATGTAAGTGAATACAAAGACCTATTTAGATATTAATTAAGAATAAGATAAATCTAGTAAAATCAGCTCTAAATAGTATATTTAGTTATATGAAGATTCTAGGATTACGAACAATTTAGCAGAATCAGCTTATATATCATATTACAGAGCTAACTATACGATTAAACAAACAAAATGAAGTAGAACTTACTATAAGATTAAAAGTAAAAAAAGTATAACTAAGCTGTATGAATACAAACAATATTCTCAGTAATTTCAGTAAGTTAGATTATATGAAGCTCAAATTTAATCTAGCTTACAAAATAATTTATGAAAAAAAGAAACTAGGCTTTAGTTTTCAAGAAAGCAAGGTTTATAAAGAAAACTTAGAAATATTAGGTACAAGTATCTTAAGTCTGTTAAATGAAAAAAAGGCTAATAGATATAGAGAAAGCAATAATATAAATATTTTTATACTCAAATAGCTAATAACAAGTAGTAGAAATTGACTCTTAATATAGCAACAAGTAAGACAGATTAAAGATTTCAAGGAAAGAAGTCAAAAGCTATACTTAGTGATACGGGCCGATAGCAAAACCTTGGGTCGACCCAGCTGTAAAAAAACTCGACTCGGTCAGCTAAGCAGGCTATTCTACTAAAAAAAAATTTTTAACCAATAAATTGCAAGATATTTATACAAAATATCAGTCTTTAGTACTTCCTAGACTTATTAAAGAAAATTCGAGTGGCAGTATGTAAAATAATTTTCTAGAAATAGAGTTAAATAATCTTTTTATTTCAAAAAATAGCTAAAGAATAGAAATTAATATTGAAATGTACATTGTTGAAGTCTAAACTAGATTCTTCGGAATAGAATTAGTCTAGAGGTTATGTCACAAAAAGGGTGAAAAAATATAATCTACAACAAATATTCTATTCAAAAATCCAACAAGGCGAGTATAACTTGGTCTGAGTTTAGGGTCACTTGGGTAGGTTTAATAATATTGTAGTTGGGTCTTTGGGTTTGTTGGTTGATATTAGTCTTCTCTACTTTCAAATGTTAATTCTCTTGGTCACGTTATCAGGCAATCACAATTTGGAAAGTTACAATTCAGATCATAAGGGAATTTGAGTTAATCAATGAAACAATCTCAATTCGAATCAAAAAGTTTATCATCACAAAGTTATTATATAAGAGATTAAGATCTACAAACTTGAAACCTTTACTCTAATCAACTAAAAACTGGTTTCAATAAATAACGATCACAGGTTCAAGACAATTACGAAAATAATGATTCAAATAAGAATAGTTTAGACAGTAGAAATTTATAACGAAGGAGAAAGTTAAACTTGGATAACTTCTACTAGTTAATATTTTGAAGTATCAGACACCAAAGTCTTGTCTTTATTGAAGGAAGAAATCACAACTTATATAATTAATTTTTACATATAACGGAATTACAAGAATAATAATAATTCAAACTATTCTAATAGCCACTACAAGAATAATAATAATTCTGATAATTCTAAGTATTCATTACAAGAATAATAATTATTCCTACTATTCTAATTATTCTTTCCTAATTTTAACTTAGTTCTGCTTTGACCACTTTTCGAATAATATTTATTATTAGAAAGATAAGAATTTATAGATTTCAGAATTTGTGTTACATCAGATCTGAGATGAGTAATTTCCTCCTTCACAATATATGCACATACGTATGTACAATTGAACTAGCTGAACATAGGATTTGTGATATTATATTTATGATATTGTTACTAAAATATCTAGAATATTAATTTATAATTATCGTGACTTTTACAATTATTTCTGGACATCTAACTAAAAATTAAATGAGTAATTAACTATTCTAGTCAACAAATATTATACTGGAAAAGCATTTAAACTTTATATAAAAAAGAATTATTCAATTAGATAGTTAATCATTCAGATAATTTTTAATCAAGTGCCCAGGAATAATGATAATAGCATTGTAGACTAGAATTAATTAAACATTAGCAAATAGTTCATTTGATTAAGAATACAATAAACAGCAAAAAATTTTATTTAATTTTTTTTATCCTTTTGGCACAATCGCTTTATTAATTAAAATTTAATCACATTGCTATCTTTGTTGCAATACTAATTAAAATTTTATTTTAGCCCAAGATAAACATTAAAAATTTTAGAATTTGTTTTTAGAAACAATATATCATGTACTGTAGTCAGATCTAACTGATTTTTTTTTTTTTGTTAGAACATTGCCTGCATTAGAGAATAACCATTCAGAGGGTACTAAAGTAGCCGGGAATGCAAGAAATTTTCTTGCCAATGTTGCTAAATTTGGATAATCTCTTTGGTTAGTATGCCACCATATAAGAGGATTGTGAGTTTTGTAAAGAGGGTCATCAATACAATATTTATTCATTTGGGTTGCTTTGTCATATCATTTTAATTCATTTTCTACTGGGAAATCAAGTTGAACACCATCATAAAGCTGATCTATTTCTGTTTGTACTGGGGTATTTACAGCATTAGCTATTGTTTCTATCATTTCTAACAACATATCTTGAACTCTTTTTTTTTTTTTCATTACTAGCAAAAGACAAATTTTTGAACTGAGAATCAAGATAAGAGGCAAAATAAGCTTCTATTGGTGGTGATTTCCAGCGAGCTAACATGGAGTTTTCAATTCGTTAACAAATATTTAGAATACTAAATGAACTAAGAGATGTTTTCATTTGACGTATATGAGATAGCAAAAGTGAAATTGTAGGAAGCATCATATCAAGAGTTGAGTTGCTATTATCTGACAAATCTGCAAAGTTTAGGCCTTCTAATATATTATATTTAACAAGTATACTATTTAGC